AAAAAAATCAAAGCACATCATTTTAATGCTTTGCATGAAAAATAAAAATAAAAAAAATTATAAAGGATGTTATGTACATATATACAAATCTATCAGTATTTACAATCTATGATCTAAATAGTGAAAAAAGAAATTTGAATTTAAAACAAACAAAAAAAAATCTATTTTTGGAAGCTCTAAGTGTTCTTAATATATCTTTCTATAGCTGAAAGAAAAAAGTCTTTCATATTGGATATTGAAAAACGATTACTTAATGGATAATATGATGTTGAGTTGAAGAAAAATAATTTCAATAATTGATGCTGAATTTAAAAAAAGCCTTTAAATTAAAATCGAATAAAAAATAAAATATAACTAAAATAAAAAGAAAGCGGAGTGTTATATTCTATCAATCTGTTGTACAAAATATTACCTAAATTATAAGTTATTGAAGCTAAGATATATTTAATAAAGATGATAAAATTTTCTTAATATAGTTCATAATATATATATTTTTTTTAAAAAAACAGAAATTTTATGCTATCATAAAAGCCTAACCCCAATTGGGACTATTGGAAAATGGCATTTTTTCTGAATCGTCCAGCGTTGATGTTTGGGTGTCCGCAATTAAATTTATGTTTATGAGTGAGAGCTGATCCACATCCGAATTAAACAATTGGAGATTATTGATAGAATTGATAGGAAATGATGATTGATTCGTATCCTCGAAATCATGCGACGGTATAAGAGGTGATGATTGGTTAGATAATTTTTCGAAATCGTGAAATGGTGATTGCATATGTGCAGACGTAGAAGCAGATGAGTTATTTGATGTGCAATAATGAATTGGAGAAAGATGAGTTGGGGAATAAGACGCAGGAGAATATTGTATAGTGTTCAAAGTTAATCCTCCATTTGAATGCATTGGAGTCCTATAATTCGGACTTAGAGAGCGTGAAACATGTTCATGGTTTCGGGCTTCTTGTCTACTATGGCGGTTATCACGACTTCGTGAACGATGCGATGGAAATTGTTTGCTGGTGGACCTAGGTGATCGGATTTCAGGAATTGCTTGTTCATCTATTTCTAAATTATTTTCAAACAAGTTTAAGTTCAGATTTTCTTGAGGAATTTGTTCGTCTGAATTTTTGTTTAATTGGTTTGCTTGAACTAAGTCGAACATTTGCCCAGGATTTATTTCAAATAAAATTTCGTCTAATTGTTCATTATCGAAAAGGTTATAAACAAAACTTGTATCTTGTAGATTTTCTTGGTTTAAACTGGATAAAAATATTGATTGTTCATTGCTCAAAGTATTCCCCAAAACTACGTCTGGTTGAATGTTTTGACCAAAATTGGTTGATGTTTTGTTATTTGTCGTCACAAAATGAGAATTTCTGTTTGGCAGATCTCGGAGGTGATCGGAAACAGCTTGCTTATCTTCACCTAGTGATTCCCACAATGTTTTACCCCATTCTTGGAACTCTGCATTAGTCGGCGCACCGGTGCTCGATCCAGTTGCTTTTTTAGGTCCCCTTTTTAGTCGTAGGCCAATTGTACATTCATTTTCGCGGTTTTCGTTGATGCATTTTTTGCATGGACCCTCACCTTCACGGACACATCTTACTCTTTTTTTTCTGCAGTTATCACAGGCCACAGCAGCTTTAAAAATTTTAGATTTATCGTTCTTACAAGTCATAGGCTTTTTACCGTCCGACTTTTTTTTCGAACTAGAATTCTGCATCATCTCGTGTGACAAGTAAAAAAGATATTACTAAATTTATTTTTCTAAGTATATTAACGCAAAGTATATAACGTATATGCACTTAATAGATATTTCCTTAATCACTACGTATATAAAAAAAAAATACTTATGCCCATTTCTTTAGCTTTTATCTTTTTTCCTAATTAGCGGATAAACCGGATTAACTTGGTGACACAATTATAATACCCTTTTT